ATGAGGTATTTCAGTTAGCTGTTTTATTGCAATTACATACAGGCGATGTTTTATTAATTGATTATTAAGCAAGTTTGTAATGTTAATGGCATCATAATTGAAAAAAAAAAGTAATTCCGCATTTTAATTAAGCGCAGCTTAATACGATATTATGATACATTACCGGATATATACGGGGTGTTACAGCATGCATATCATAACGACACTAGCATATAACAGTTCAATAGCATTTCCAAAACATCAAAAGCATGTAACACAGCATGCGTATAACCATACCCCCATGGGACATGGTGGAACCACAACATGGCTAAACCAATGACATGAAAGCTTACCTTGCAAGCTCACTATCCAATGCCAAGAGTCCACACGGCTCAAGTCCAACACACAGCAGATCACAATCTGATATAGACCAATAATAAATCAATAAACATGCACCACAAGCATATAATATTAAGACCACGCCTTCTCATTACGTTTTACGTCTTAAGGCTTCACACAAGCCATAAGCCCTTAATCACATGATTCTGACTTAGTTCAATTAACACAGAAGTTCAACTTCATCAATCTAGGGTCCACAAACCCCCAATAGCCTACTGTACACACAACACAACTACTGTTCTACGAAATCTCAGAATATCCGGATATTCCTCTGGACATATCCGGATATCCAATATCCGGATATCCAAATTCCCATATCCGAATATCAATATCCGGATATTTCACGGGCAAATATCCGGATATTTCGCGACAGAATGCAGTTTCTGCATTTCGCGAAGATATCCTTCAAAGGTTGGATTTCTACCGATTTTAGACACTAACACATGCATTTCTAGGTGTGTTAAGCATTACCCAACATTAGGTTATCATCTTTTAACCATTACATGCATCAAGGTTCCATTTTTACACTCTTAAACTCAAGTTCAAAGTTGATGATCATATCACAAGCTTAAACTCAGTAAGAATGACTCAAGGAGCTCACCAACAACCCTTCCAAGGTTCTGACTTGGTCCAAGCACGAAAATGGATCAACAAGAAGGGTTCCTCCTTCATAAAGGTGGCACTTTGAAGCTCAAAAATGTCATTACCAAGGTTCTCATCAACCAACTCTCAAACTCAGCCCTTAACCCAAGAACTCAGGGGCCAAAGACAGCAAAAGGGACACTCTACCACCCTCACAAGGATCACTCCCACAATGCCCAAGTGTTTAGATGAAAGAACAAGCACCAAAGGTGATTACTTGGTCAAGAGATGGAGAAGGAAGCCAAGAACATCATTCTGGTCAGCCACACTCTACCAAGTCACGTATAGCATGAGTAGTTATCTAGGGTTTTGTGCAAATGAGAGTATATATAGCCACTTTAAAATAAAACACACAGTATTAAATTTTATTGCTACGCTTAGCATTTTAATTCCAACCTTTGGATTCTTAACCTACACAATTTTACAAGAATTATCATATTTTAATTATATTTTTCGGAGCACCTTTCCGGTACGCGCTTTTCATAGCCAGTATCAGTTTCTGGCACTAGTTCTCATTATTTGGATTTGAAACTCGTTTTACACGTCCTATATATTATTCTAGTAATTATCATGCACTTATTATAATTTTCCGGGATACTTTTTCGGTACGCATTTATACCGATTATCAGAACCGGTATCTGCACTTTTCTTCCGAAAAACGACTTTCAACATTCTGAATCACTTAGAGCCCGTTTGGATGAGCTGTTTTTTTTTTCAAAAGCTGCTTTTTTTAAAAAAAAAAAGCACTTTTTGTTTTTAGTTCATTTCAATGTCTGCTTTTAAAAAAAAGAAAAGTCACAAAAAAAGTCAAAAACCTACTTTTTTCAGAAGTTAAAAATTTTAACTTCTCAGAAAAGCAAAAGTCAAAAGCCAAATATTTTTTTCAAAAACTAAATATTTTTATAAAAATATAAATAGCTTTAACTTTTATAAAAAGTACTTTTAAAATAAGGAAGTGGTAGAAGTTACTTTTAAAAAAAGCTTAACCAAACGACCTCTTACTATAATTATTAAAGCCTCTTAATAATTATTAGGGTCAATTATGGAATCATTTCCTAATTTTACATAATTAATTAATTAATTTCCATAATTAACGGTGCGGGTTCTTACATTTATTAACGAAAAAGGAAAAAGTTTATCCGTATTATAATTCAATGTCTGTGATTGTAACTTCGCCAAATTCCATACGTAATGTTAACAAACCGGTTCTAGAATTGAGTGTTACACACGACACGAATGACTTGCTGGTAGGATACACATCATGGTTTTTATATGGAATCGAGATTGCGGGAGTAAGGTTTCCCAAAACACAAGCTCTGGTACCAACTCGAGAATATGAATGTATTGTATTGACTTCTATGTATGAATGTACAAGAGTCCTCTATTTAATAAGGCTAAATGACCTAATAGGCTAAGACCAAAAAACCTTCTAGAATAATCTATAATAATAATAATACAATGTTATTTCTAACAGTAAAGATAAATTTAGAGGATATAAAATTATTAAAGTGCATAATTATGTGAGACAATCAAGAAAATAGAAAATGATCCTCTTAACACATTAAATTTTATGTGATACACTCTAAAGAGGTGGAAATTTAGGTTGACAGTTGACACCACACAATAAGATATGAATTTAACAAGAACTCGAATACTCTCAGCACAAACACAACACGAATTTTTATTTGTGTTAAAACCTTTAACACGATAAATTTTGTGGGTTAACATGACATAGATAACCCATAAATTGATATTTATGAGTTTTCAATATTGACATGATCCACTTTGTATACAGTTTGACACGACAACAAAAAACGAAAAATACAATTATAATTATAAATTTACAAGGTCAAACTAATAATTAACCAAAAAATACTAGTTAAATACGTATGTGCAAGTCAATACCCGACACAACATGAATTTTTGTGTCATATTTTGTTAACATAAATATAATACAAGTTTAAAAATGAATTTATCCAAACATAAACTTTTATATCATGTTCGTGTCATGTTTGCCGATCAGATCACGAATTACCATGTATTAATCTAAACCGTCTATTATATTAACAAATAAAATAGAAAATAAATTAGAATAAAAGCCCGTTTGAATAAACTTTTAAAAAAAAAAAAATTTAAGATTTTTTTAGAATGATTTTTTTAAAAGTTAAAATTACTTTACGTTTGGATGAAATAAATAAAAAGTACTTTTAAATTATAAAAAGTTATTTAGATGATATTTTTTTTATACATTAAATGTTAAATTTATTACGCATTTTTTATATATAAAATTACCAAAAAAAGATATGTGGTGGTGAGTGGTGGTGGGTTGAAATAGTTGGAGTGGAGTTGCGATAAAAATGAATTTTTAAAAGTTATTTGACTTTTGGTATTTGTTTTCAAAAGAAATAAAAAATCTTGACTTCTAAAAAAATGTTATTTTAACTTTTTTTAAAGTATGCTTTTTTTAAAAGTTGCTATTTTATTTTATTTTATTTTTATCAAATGGTGGTATCTCAGTTGGGATATGGGAGCCAAACAGTTGGAGATGAAAGCATGTGTTCGATTCTTCTCAGTACCACCTTTAGGAGAAGTTTAAAACTTCAATCATGGACTCATTCTGAATCGGATTAGTTACAAAAGGACGAATCGATTGAAATATTAAAAAAAAAATTCTTTTAAAATAAATCTTTTGTTAAGAACCAAAAAACATTTTTTAGACAAAAATAAATAAAAAAAGTTGATTGATAAATTGTCTACGTTGAGTCATCTCATTTTGGGGCAGAAATCAAGGTATTTTTATAATTATAATTTATTTTAAGAATATAATAATCTTTTTTATTATAATTTTTTTATTTTTTAACTTAAAATGACGTTATTTTAGGAATGATTCTAGATAATTTATTCACATTTAGTCATTAAAATCATAAAAAAAAAAAGCCATAAAATGACAACCGCTATAGTGTCACCGTGACTCTGTGAGGTGATAGCAGAGGATCCTCGTAAAAAGGACAACGCAACGGATCATGATCATGAACATGACCCAATTTTTTTTCTTACAACAATTAAAAAAATAGGAAGAGTGGAAAAGAGAAACCTATCGATCTCACATTGATTTTATATATAATAAACGGGAAATAGAAGTATGATGTGTAGCAAAATGTTTAGGTTATCTTATAGAGATAAAGATTGTGGGACTCATATTTTTTTATTTTTTTGACTTTTGAAAATAAGTGCGGGTCCTATAATTTCTTTTTTTTTTTTTTTTGTAAATGGGTCCTATAATTTCTATCTCTATAGTATAACCTACATTGTTTTTTACAACATTATACTTTTTTTCTCATAATAAGCAGAAGAAACAGCAAATGATGCAAGCACCCATTGATTGCTGCTCCTGTCTGTATGTAGCTATGTATATCTCGCTGTCACATCTTTATTTAAATTTTTTTTTTTCTTGGAAACTGATCCTAATTATCTCGAATTAGAACATTCCAGTATTCCTATGAGTTCGACTCTTTGAGCCGCTATGGGACTAATCCAGAGTTCGGGTGTGATATAATTTAAAATTTTGTATGGAATAAAAAAGAAGTTTCAATTCATTGACATGGGCAAAGACATAATTACATAATCGAATGTGGTTTGTTTCCTCTTTCCAATAATTGTGACTTGTTTCCTCTTTTCAATAATTGTGACTATTTAATAATAGGGCTTAATAATATTGTTAGGATGCAAAAAAATTTGTTAATCTCACCATAATAGGAATAAAATTATCTCTTACCGACGATACACGTGGTTTATAAAAAAATAATATTCCTTGGAAGAAGCTCTAAACATCATAAAAAACGCATCGAATCACCATAATTCTTGTCCTCACTAATAAGGTAATAAAATAGGAAAGAGTGAAAAAACGAGCCTTTGCAACGTTACCTTGGCTTTATGTACACTTTGCACGCAGATACAGTGCAAATTAGGACCAGAAAGCCATGGATACACCTCCTTTGCACATAGCAATGTTTCCATGGTTTGCTATGGGGCACTTAACCCCATATCTTCACCTCTCAAACAAATTAGCAAAGAGAGGAAACAGAATCTCTTTCTTCATCCCCAAAAGAACACAAACCAAGTTAGAGCAATTCAACCACTACCCACATCTCATTACCTTTTTCCCTATCAATGTTCCTCACGTTGATGGCCTTCCCCATGGTGCTGAAACCACCTCAGATGTGTCTTTCTCTTTAGGTCCACTCATTATGACAGCCATGGATCGTACTGAGAAGGATATCGAACTTCTCCTCATTGATCTAAACCCACAAATTGTTTTCTTTGATTTCACATATTGGCTACCAAACATGACTCGCCGCTTGGGTATCAAATCTTTTCAATACTTGATTGTTAACCCAGCAACAATATCTTACACTACATCCCCACCAAGGATGCGCCATAGTGGTAACATCACTGAAGTTGACCTTATGCAACCCCCTATTGGGTACCCTGTCTCATCCATCAAGCTTCATGCCCATGAAGCAAAGTTCCTAGCTTGGAAAAGAAACTGGGAGTTTGGTAGTGGTGTTCTTTTTTATGACCGCATGTATAATGGTTTATGCCTATCAGATGCAATAGGATTCAAAGGTTGCAGAGAAATTGAAGGGCCTTATGTTGAATACCTTGAAGACCAGTTTGGGAAGCCTGTTCTGCTTTCAGGACCTGTCTTACCTGAACCACCCAACAATGTTTTAGAGGAAAAATGGGCTCAATGGCTTGGAGGGTTCAAGGATGGTTCAGTAGTTTACTGTGCACTTGGAAGTGAATGGGTATTACCACAAGATCAATTCCAAGAATTGTTGTTGGGTCTTGAGCTAACAGGCCTTCCATTTCTAGCAATTCTTAAACCTCCTATTGGGTTTGAGACAATTGAATCTGCTCTGCCAGAAGGGTTTAAAGAAAGGGTTCAAGGTAGAGGGATTGCACACAGTGGATGGATACAGCAACAACTGATTTTGGAACACCCTTCTGTGGGTTGCTTCATATCACATTGTGGTGCTGGTTCATTAACTGAGGGACTAATAAATAAGTGTCAGATAGTGTTGCTACCACATATAGATGCTGATCACGTTGTTAATGCAAGGATGATGGGTGGAAACTTAAAGGTTGGAGTTGAAGTGGAAAAGGGTGAAGAAGATGGCTTATTCACAAAGGGAAGTGTTTGCAAAGCTGTGAAAATTGTGATGGATGATGAGAGTGAGGTTGGCAGAGAAGCGAGGGCAAATCATACCAAAGTGAGGAACCTATTACTAAGCCAAAATTTGGAGACTGCCTGTGTTGATGGTTTCTGTCAGAAGCTTCAAGATTTGCTCAGGTGATTTGAAGTTTGCAGAAACCATTCAACTGTAATTTATTGCTACAATTAAATCTATATTCAGTCAAAATTAAGTGTATTTTCTTCAAATCTGTATGGATTCTATCATTACTTGTCTTGTCTCTGTATCTCAAGATTATTATAGCACTTGTAAGAGTTTTATCATTTAACTTTGCAGTCATATGCGGGTCGTGAAGATATATAAGTGAATTTATATGCGGCTCACCTCAAATAGGAACAAACTTTTGTTTTTGGGCTAAATCAGATTTTGTTCTGAACAATCTTTTGTTCATAATTATAATATTCATTCTAAATAGATTATTTCCAGTCACAAAATTTGCATCTTAAAGACCCGTATGCTTTAAATTTCCAAGACAGTTTATAAAAATAAAAGTCCCATATGGAAAATTCCACCAGTAGGCCTATACCTCCTTAATCAATTGAAACCATCCACAAAATTATAACGGAAACTGTTACCTCTATAAAGGATGCGGTGCAGTATCATACTCTACTCAACAATTGGATAGAAGATTGAAATTTCTAAGTCCCTAAAACGCTTAGCGGCTGCAAGTAATGTTAAGCAGAAGTTCGTATACTTATTTAGATTCTTATTTAGTTTAAAATGCGGAATGAAATAGAGTTGTCACGCTACTCTTTTATTATTTCCCCTGACATTGACATATGTAAAGAATCAATACATGACATTAATGATTTTATATACGATGCATCAAACTTAACTTATCTATATTAAAAAACTTCACGAGACTTAATTAATTATCAATCAAATGGGAGCGATGAGGATAGAACTCTTGACACCGAGACTATAATACTTTATCAAGAACTAATTCAACTCAAAAACTTAATTTATTTGATAAGATACATTAATAACTTTATATATCTCTAACAATTCCCTTGCCTTCGTTATTGACAAAAATTTAGTGGCATTCACAATAACAATGACGAGGATGGTGAAAGATTCCCCGAAAGCAAATCAGCTTCCCATGTTGTGTTTAACAACTTAAGTTTTTGCATAGAATTTGTTACTTGACACCACTGGCGGACCTCGGTAGGCACTTATGTCCGCAAGATTTTGGATTTTAGTTTTGTTGTTGTTGTTGTTGTAGCTATATAGGTTTTTATTTGTCTCTTGGTTCAATATTTATATTAGAAGTAAATATTATTTTAAGTTCCTAACAAAAAATATGATTATCACTTTAGTCCCTTATCAAAAATTAGTCTCTAGGAGGTCCCTAAGAAATTCAAAATGGATCAATTTAGCTAAAATCGTGGTCCTTCACAAATTTAAAAAAGACTTACATTAATCCCTCAAAAAGACTAAAATGAGTCCACTTTAAATTTCATAGGGACCAAGTGATTATTTTGTTTATAATGGACTAAAGTGGGAATCAGATTTTTTGTTAGGGACCAACAAAGATATTTATTCTTATATTAGTTAGCAACGTAACAATAAACAGAGATAATTAAAACAACGTAGTAAGGGAAATTGAGTAGAGAGAAAATTTATTCCTCCACCCCTGTCACGTACTCATTTCCATGATTTCTTTATCTTTTGTTATGGAAATAATTAGATTATGAGCGGGTTCAAACATTAATTTAAACTTTTTTTACAAAAAAAAAAAAAAAAAAATAGGGGGCACTGCCCCCAAAACCCCATCAGTGTATAAATATGCGGACATAAATTTTTTTCCTGAATGACACTTGACAGTTTCAAGAAGAAAACTATAGAAACATTGCTATGTGCAGAGGATCTGCATCAATGACAAAACAGAATGCTGCGCAGTGTTTTGCTCGTTGTCCTTCTTGTTCAATTAATGCCATGTTTTTTATTTTTTTATTTTTAAATTTCTTAACAAATACCTTTTAAGACAATCATTATCAGTAGCCGACAAATTAATGGGCCTCGGTTATTATTTGTTAAATTCTATATTAAACTTGACCATTTATAATATGACTCTTAAAGTATTAAACTTGACCATTTATAATATGACTCTTAAAGTATTTTTAAAAAAATTATTTATTTAATATTTCTCATGTTATATGAGATAAAATTATTTTTTACACATATAAAAATATGTAGATACATGTTTTATTTATCTATCTTTTCTCTTTATATAATCTCGTATAGACTTTATATACTTTTATATATATTTATATATATATAAGAAATAATTTTATTTTCAAAAATATTAAACTTTTCTTCTTCTCCACCAAAAGTGAGACCATAGATTCTGTTTTTTGAAACAGAGGCCGGGTTTTCTCCCCCATCACGTGTCTTCTTTCTTCGTAACGTCTATTATGAAAGTAATTTTTTAAGGTTTTCTTGTCAAGATCTTGCAGTGAGAACATACTTTTTCTTTCTTTGAGCAAGATTTTTTTTATTAAGAAAAAAAAAAACAAATTTACCTGAGCTTGGTTTGTTGAGGTTGAAGCTTAGTGTGGGAATTAGACATGCTTGCTTGACTCCAAGGGTTCAGCTACTGAACCGAGTGAACAAGTAACACAAAATTCGTTCAGTCTAATATATTTGAAATATATAGTTTGATTGTGAAAGTTAGAAGTACTAAAAACTATTTGAAATATAGGATGATCCCATAATGAAGAAAATAAAGTGAAAAATCTATTTAGTATAGTATTCCATCCTATAGATCAAAATGTTCAATCTAATGATTAATATGTTTATGTTGGATCTAAATGTCCTCCCTCAGGTACCTATAAGGAAATACCTTAGAGAATAGCGGATCACTGTGCACTATAATAACGACATAGCCAAAGAGTGTGGTATATGCACAGTGACAGTCAAGAGAGAGAAGGTTTTGAGTATGTGTACTTGGTTCGCTTAACCATTTATTTATAGATAGGTTACCTGTTAAGAATATACTTGTGGGCCTCTTAAGAATATTGAGTCCAAATTTTGATCCATTGTTGTCGCACTAGTATTAGTATAATTAAGAAATCTTTCTTTAATTTTTCTCTTAGTTGTTTAGCCCTTTTTGGGCCTTCTGGAATGTGAGCCTTTATATCAGGTCTACAAGAGTTTCCCCCCAGCCCAATAATTTGGATGTTCGGGCTTCCGGGTTGCAATAGTTGTTGTCTCCGTGTCGATGGACTTTTGTTTTCTTTTTCCGACAATGTTCCTCTGGGTTAAATGTCTTCTTGCCTTACTTAATTGGATCGCCGATTGCAGTTATTGTCTCTGACTATGTTCAAGATCAAACTTATCGATCTTCGTTGCTAGGATCCAGTCATGTGCTGATCTGTGTTGGGTGCTTTGGTTTGGAACTAGCTAAATGCGTCTAGACTCATCTTCCAAGTCTACAATGCTGACTTCTTATGCTTATTGAACTTTTCTGACTGCGGTCCCCATTAGGAGTGGAGGGGTTTTTCGTTTGCCTTCTTTGATGGTGTTTTATCCCTGCCTTTTCGATTTACGATGCTTTTTTTCTAAAATCCAAGTAATCTTGTTGATTCGTGCTTCAGATTTCGTTCTTTGGTTACTCACTGAGTGACGTTCTTTTCGTGCTTACTGATTTAAATTTTAACTTAGCCTTTCAATTTTGGTGATGGGTATCATGAGCCGGGTGCTGAATATGCTAGTCTTGTATTCCTTCCTCAACCTTTTCGACTGGGGTCTAGCTTGAGACTGGTTGATTTTTCTTTAGATCGCTTTTCTCAGGATCTAATTCTTGCCTCTTCAGGTTCTGTTTCTTTTGTTCTTTGTCCTTTGAGCTTTCTAGCGTTTGTGACTTGGTCAGCTTCCCTAACTTAGGTTGTTGGGGTTGTGTTGGGCCGAAATCTTTTGTTCCTTCTTCATGACTTTAGCTGTATTGTGTTCCGTGTCTGTGATATTGGGATCATGCTTCCTCTAGTATACTGTTGTCATTTTTGGAAACTTTGTGAGGATCCATCTAACCCAAGTGGTTCGGGCAATCCATTTGTCTAGTACTTCGGCAATATCCGAGTTCGTACCGAGCGGTCTTATTTTTTCCTTGAACAGGATGACCCTTTCCTTGTATGGCATGATTCGGGCTTGTACTCGGTTGTTGATTGTCTTTGTCAGGTCATCGAGTTTTATTTTGACATCTTATCCCTCAGCCATTCTGGCTGAGGTACTAGCTCAGACTGGCTGATCTTGCTTTTTGACCGCCTTACCGAGATCTTAACTTGTGAAGGTTGTTGCTTTTTCTCATTCTATCTTGATGGTTGCGTTCTTACATTTCCCCCGTAAGTTCGACAGTCTGTACGTCTGGGTTGTCGGGATGTACTTTTTTTATCCTCCGGTTATACCCGAATTTTTTTGTTTGGATTCCATCTGGTCGTGCAGGTGCCTGGCTGGGGTTCTTGTTGTACTTTGTGCCCTCACTTGGCGGGTGACTTCTTATTGGTGTTGTGATATCTAAATTTGTGGCCCAGATTCATTCCCATGTGCTGTGTTGCAAGTTGCTCTACTCGTCCTTCTTGGCCGGTCGGTCTTTTTGTAGACAACCTTGCTCATGCGTCTGCGCTTCCTTGTTTGGGCTAACCAAGGTGTAGGCCTTCTAGCCTTTTCCCTTAATCCGAGTTCTAAAATCGATCTGCGTCTGGAATTTCGGACAAGTAGCTGTGTGTCGAAATGCCGACTTACTTTGTGCTTTACCTTTTGCTAATTTTGATGCCTTTGACCCCCTTTAGAATTTGTAACAGATATTGCCGGGTTTATTCTCGGTCCTTTCTTTTGTCCTGGTAGTTTGAATTCCCCTTTCGTGAATGCATGTATTTGTTTAAAGTTTGCGGAGCAGGATTCTTCTGTGCTAGAATTAGCTCGGCTTCTATTATCGTTACTTTGATTTTGGGCTGGCTTCTTTCGCCCGATGTCCTTAGTTCGGCGAAGTGATGTCCGCTTCTTTAATTCTGAACCTGTCTTCTCTTGTCGATACTTTTTATCTTGACTCGACTTCTTTATGGAAGCAGTTTTCGTTGTTTCCAGTTGTTCTTGTATTCGAGTTG